ACTGGGCCCTTTAAAAAACCCCCCCATACAAACCTTTTTTTCATGTGATCTATTGTGAGCCCCTTAAGAAACGAGTAAACAGTAAGGAAACCAATCCCCCACTTCATCTTTTTATTGAAAGTAAAATTTTTAGAAAAAGGGGCCAAACACCAGTGAGGTGGTGAATTTTTGTGGCGAGTGCCACGGATCCCCCCACAACAATGTTCCCGTCGCCACCAACTGGGTCACCAGTCCGTCTGACTGATGATTGTCACCGGGGAACGTGCATAATAATAAACCAACAGAAAGGAACAGGATTTCTACACCTGCTGTCTTTAAAAAACTTAGTATAATGGTACCGGGTGTTAGTGACTGCTGTAAGCCCGCATTTGGGGATGGTAATGAAATCTAATTAAATTACTTTTGCCCTTGAAATGACTATGGCAAGTTTAACAGTCTTAACCTGAAAAAGAGCCAAGGTAAAATTACGACCTTACCCTTTAAATAAACTGAGACAGGATAACTCTTAGCCTGAGTTCAGTTCTGGATGAAATTAACCAAATACTGCTCGTATTAATACAAAACATATAAATAATCTTGTTGTTTGAGTGCAAGTATTACAGACTTCCTTTTTATGAATTAATTAGATAAAGATAAAAAAACAACTGGGAAAAATGTGTTGTGAAATTTATTAAATGTACTTATTTTTTAAATACATTTTTCCCCATTCACGAAAATCATGAACCTAACCAGTAATGTGACTACACTGTAATGATTTATTTATTCATAGTGATAAAACATTTTATACAGAGAGGTATATATCTCTCGTAAATATAACACAAAATCCAGTCACATAGATTTTCAAACATAACAGCAATTTTTTTAGATTCCTGCTTTGTGTATATATAATGGAATTTTGTTTAATTGCGTAGGTTCAAAAATTTTCACGCTAAAGCATTTTAACGAATATTTTCTGACAGTTTTCGAGAAATGTCAAGCCATCTTTTGTTTCCTCGGTGCTCCCGCCATGTTTACCTAAACTTAAACAATTGGGTAAAGATTGTAGAGATTCGTTCGGATTTTTTCCCCGGAGGGGTTTGCCACCCAGGTAAGAAAGTCAGTGCGTCATCGAGGACTGTCAAAATTATTTTTCCCTTGGGTCCTTAATCTTGACCCCAGGGTGCGACCCACACCAGTCGACTTAAAACCCCGGTACCTATTTGCTGCTAGGTGAACAGGGCAACAGGGGTAAGGAAAAGTGTCGAAAAAGTCTCCACCCCCGGGAATCGAACCGGGCCCCTGTGTGAAACGGGAGCTTTAGCCCCCCGGCCACCGGGGCCCCCTGTGAATTTTCAGTATTTAACGCTGGGTTGGGGAAATCGCCAACTTGTGTGATAGAGAAAATTTTTAAATTTATTAAGGGTAAGCTTTTGGAAGATGTTTTCACTCTCTTCCTCCTGAACAGAATGTCCCGGGGGTAAAGCCCGCGTGGCCGGTCCATGACCCGCCACGGTGGATCAAGGCCTGATCAACCAGGCGTTACTGCGGCCTCACGTAAACTGACTTACGAACCACAGCCCGGCTGGTAGGGACTGACTTTAGGTCCTGTCCCCGTGCCTATTGGGAATCCCCCTATGTTTCTGGGGGGGCAATTGAGCAATATTGGGCCCCTGACACTTAATGTGTTGTCTCTTAGCGTATTCACAGCACCCTTGCTTGTCACAGGGGATGTGTTGCACCGTCTGATGATCTTGCTTTCGTAGGGAGTGATTTCCATGTGCAAAATTTGTGACTAGTCCCTCTAGGGTTTTCCAAGTGTATATTATCATGTATCTTTCCCGCCTGCGTTCCAGTGAGTACTAATCAAATGATTTAAACCGTTCCCAGAAATTTAGATGCTTTATTGTACTTATACGTCCAGTGAAAGGTTCTCTGTATATTCCCAGGTCTGCATTTCGCCTGCCTTGAAAGGGGCTGCTAGAGTACAGCAAATTCCAGCCTAGATAGAACAAGCGACTCGGAGGCTTTCGTTTTTAACACCTGAACACCTTATTCGAACAGCGAAAAAAAATTAACCATAGTTAAGTATAACTGAGGAAAGGTTAAAGGTTGATGTCCCGTGGTTCGGTTGGCAGCGCATCATCACTCATACTGAGGGTCCCCGGGGGTTTTATCCCCGGTAGGGGTGAAACGTTGGGCATGTTTCCTTACACCTGCTGTCCCTTTTCGCCTGCAGTAAGTAGGTATCCTGGGAGATAGTGATATACCTTTTGATAGGGCTGGGCTTTGAAATGAGATGAGGTAGGATAATATCCCTTAGCCTGTGAAATTGATCTCTGTAAAAAAAATGACATGCACAGATGCCCTCTGTTCAGTTTCCATTGGGCCATTCCCAATTTTGGTTTCCATGTGATTATCTTAGAACGATTCTTCTGATCGGCTTCAAACGTTAAACTTTCGTGTATTCCATTAGAAACAATGTTATTGTCATGCATGAATAGTATGTAATACCGACAAGATAAAGAATTAGACACATGCGCAACATCAGGGTATCTTTACTTGTAGACGTTTCGCCATCCAGTGACTTTATCAGTACAATACACGGACATAATATGAAGACTAGAAATGTATACAACAGTTAATTGAAGATGAGGTAATGAGTCCCAAAAGGCCTAGGAGTAGGGGATGACTCTGAATATTCTTCAGACTATGGTGCTCGTCACCTACTTCTAGAGTGAGGACTAATACCTCGACTTCAACTGACCGCGTATATATTTCTCTGTCTTCACATTATCTCCATGTATTGTGCTGATAAAACCGCTTTATTGCGAAACTTATAAAAGTAAAGACACCCAGATGTTGTACATGTATTGATTCATCATCTTGTCGGTACTGAATACCACTGATATACAGCTTTCCAAATTATGTCTAATTATAAGAACACATAAAGAAGACATTGCCTAAACGTTGCTTGGTTCTCTGTACTTTGAGTTACTGATGATGTTCACTTCCTTGTGTTTTTGAAACTCTCTCGTTCCTTGATGTTGGTGAGGGGCTCTTGATTTAGGGAATTGGATCTGTGCTCCAGTTCCCCGAATTAAGCCTGAATGCCTTCCACATCCCCCCCCCCTTAGGCGCTGTATAATCCTCCGGGTTTAGCGCTTCCCCCTTGATTATAATAATAATAATATTTTTGAACCCATATATTGAAGTCGCCTCCATTACGTCCCCTCGCTAATGCATTTCACTTCGCTGTCCTCACATTGAAGTTCTTTCTTGTGTTTATGTACTGACTATGAACCTAAAACACTTCTTAGGTTCTGGAGATATATCAGCCACCTTCCTTGTTCCCCAGTTCTTTATATAGTCAATATTCTTCTTAATTCTTTTATTTGTAATGAGTATATCACTGTTAATTTGTAGACCCTGCATCAGATAGACTCTTATTATTTGTTATTCAATACCCACAAGTTGAAGAGTGAGACACATGTGGGACGTAAGACACATGGGCAACAGTTAGGCAACTTTATTCCGGAATAAAGTTGCCTAACTGTTGCCCATGTGTCTTACCTACCAACCTGTCGGTATTGTATACCATTTTGGTATTCACATATGACACACTTGGGTATCTTTAGTGGCGAAACATTTCGGTTGCACAGCAGCCTCATCAAAACTTTATGGCCCAGCCCATGGACCCATTATTGCACCTCTAATCTACAAATGATTGTGACCAGATCTACAGTACCTGAGTTTATTACCTTCGTAACTTGCTCAGCTATTTAAACTTTGTGGCCCAGTCTCTGGACCCATTATGAACCTGTGTAACCTATTGACTACCCCCCACAGGATGGGTACGGGGTGCATAATAAAGATATTAAACTAACTAAAAAACAGCAGCGTTCTTCTGTGCACGCTTCATTATTATAATTGTCACGAGGAAACTTTAAGCCCGAATTTCTAGAGAAATAA